GGGGGGAAACAAACCAACAAAAAAACCCGAGCGGCTCTTTAAAATACCCATATTTATTACATCAAAACCCAAAGTTCCAACAGTTCACATGTTTTCTTTTCCTCCCTGGCTGTCCCAGATGTGACAATAGGAAGGCAAAAGCATTTGCATGTATCCAAGCAAAACCACAGAATAAAAGCCCAGTGAAGATAATGTTGATACAAAACTCATGTGGTCTTTAATTAAATGCAACATAAGTGGTGTACACGGACTGATAGGTACAAAAAGACAGATGCATAAAATAAAAGTTGGCATTTTACAATTCTTGTGCCTTTTGTTGAAATGTAGAACGTTTCTTTTCACTACCAGTAGCATGGAGGAAATAAAACACAGCAGCATTAACTGAGATTTCAGCTCTTATTTACAGAATTTAGATGGTTAACATTGCAGAATATTCTTGCTTTCATAAAAAATACCTTACAAAAGCTGTTATCTATCATTATTGGAGAGCTCTGCTGATGTCAGTGAGTATCACTATTCACAGCTTGATTAACCAGTTATTGTTGCACAATTCAGGCTACACCCACAGTGATTATTTCAGTTCCGAGAGACACCGAATCCTCTCTTACCTGATCACCTTTTCTACTTCTCCAATGGGCCCTTTATGGGTTTTCCAAATTTCAGTGCTAACGCTGACTGCTGCATTAACACAGCAGGATAAAGACATGACAACCAGAGGGCATTAAATATAAAATACTTTACCATTTTATTCTTCTGATTTTTTCAACTGTAATTTTGCCTTGTTTTCACCCAAAGAAGCTTTGGCTGTTTCAGCTTGCTCTGCAGTTTCAGCAGTCTTCTTTTTTGGCCTTTGCTTACTGGAACGTATTAGGTCTTCACGCCCAAGTTCAAGCATTTTTGCTTCCCACGACTTCATTTCATTTTCATATCGAACCTTATCATCTTCAGCAAGCTGCAGGTACGGCTGGAAGAAAATTACGGGAGGGGCTTTCTCAGGGTAACTGCCACGTCCCATCCTCCCCTTTGATACAAGTGCGACTTACTACAAGCCCAGTGCACATCTCAGGTGTTCACTTTTGCCTCCAAAAGATTCAAAAAGCATCAAACTTGCATAAAAATACAAAACCTTAGCATTCAATTATGGCTATGTCAACAAATGGCCATTCCTGAAGAGGACGTTCAACTACTAACAGCCACGGCTTTTTATTTGAGTTCTAGCTTGACAGAGCTGGCTTATGCAAGGAACAGGAATAGGTATTTTGGCAGAACTATTTCAAATTCTTTTTCTACAGAAAAAAACATGAACCTACTGCATGTCCTAAGTACACCTTCAAAACAACCTGCAAGAAGGGCATTCAGGAAGGAGGACAGTAACGTACAGAATACTTGAAAAACTAGAGGTTTAGATTAGATTTCAGTGTAGCACCCCTCCAATTTTCATATATCCCTCCGCAGGTTTGTATTTCCATACACTAAGAAAGCTGGCAGAAAAGCATCCCCAAGACAACCAAAGTTAACAAATTACTGTGTACACATCACTTACAGATTTCTGTTGTTTTTACCCAACAAAAGTCTTTCCACGAGCAGCAAATTACTATGCTGGCATTTTAAATTATTATATATTGTTAGAAAAAAATCAAACTTTTGAAAATTTTTCTACCTTCCTCCCTAGATGCCACTCAGCACCCCTTTTCAGGCATACAGAACTTCCATCTCGCTCACATTTCATCAACACTTTGAAAGAAACGGTCACTACGGGAATAAAAGTAATGGCAATCTCTAAATAAGATCTGAGAGTATTTTCCTCAGTATTACATTTTGAGCCACCAAGTTCGAGATTTTGTACACATTTGTTAATTTTGACTCAAGTTTGCCATTTTCTAATTAGATCAGGGCCTCATCAAAATCCACTGACATACCTGCTTTTGAGAACTGGACAGCTTTTGCCACGCATCAAATAATTGCTTCAGCTTTGCCTAAAGGATATAGAATAGGCAATACATTAGGATTATTTTAACAGGAGACTGACCACAGAGGGTTCTAGATGAATGCTCCGCTAGTGAAAGCCAAGTCTAAACCAACGTAAAAAAGCACAGTCACACAGGCTTAATACCCACCCTCTGAACGCAGGTAAATGACACAGTTCAACAAGCTGCTGGGCATCATATGAGCCACACTTACAGATAATGTAAGCATGAAGAAGTTTAAGTTACTTAGCCTGCAGGAAAACAGAACAGTTGACCTGATTTACAGCAACAGGACTACATCTCACCGTGCATACTGGTCTCATTTAAACCAAGCCATAACTTAGGCCAAGCCCTCGTAAGTATTAACCACGTTCACAGGAAACTTTGTATGATTTACTTAAATCACCCCAAAGTGCAGTTCAGTGCAGAACTTCTGACTTTGCTGAGGAACTCTTGCATGTTCCGTAACATCGACTGTGCTACAGGAGGTACAACAATTACTACTACTGAAACGGTATCAGACCACCACAACCATTTGAAAAACTAATGTATTTCTGAACCAAAACAAAGAGAAGTAGAATCCTCTCCTTACAGATGAAGTCTGTAACACTGAAATGCAAAAAACAGCACAAATATTTAAGTCTGTATACCCACACAGTAGTTTATATAGGACATGCACCAGCAGTATAGGCAGATCACCACAGCCTAAATAACAATAACCTACGCAAAGCAAAATCCAGGTACTGAACTATTGAGCAGTTTCTTTGAAAATGACAGAATCGAAGACAGATTTTCGGAATACAATAGATCTATTTTAAAGAACAATCTTTCCTGGCTTACCACAGGTGAAATTCCCTCACTTTCTTGAAAGTTTTCTGACATAAAAATGTTAAAGCCGCTACGAGGTCTTTTAGGTTTTCCAAGCACAGTCAATTCCTTAAAAAAAAAAAACCAAGAAAAGTTATTCAATCTACCAAGCATGCATTTTTCCAAAACTAAACTTACCATTTGTCTTCACATTTTAGACAAAAATCACGACTCAAATTCATTTTTTGGTGTTTTATTCTGTAAACTGGACTGTACGTCAAGATGCTCTCACCACTTGTTAAGACTAGTGATAAACTAAATTAAGAAAAGCTAACAACTTGAATTTTCACAGACGTTTAAAAAAAAGCATTTCAAACTGATTCTTACTTCAGCTAAGTCTTCCAGAAACCAAAGACTGTTCAACTAAATTCCACTCAGTAAGGAAGTCATGACAGCAGGTTTTCTATTATCTTCATAAGGCTTCAGTTTCTGGTGTGAAATACTGTATGCTTGCAGACAGAAGGGCAGATACCAAACTTTGTGGGCGGTGAGAAGGTGGAACAGAAGCAGCAGATTTCCAGAGAAACAGAACTAGGTTTCTGCTATCAGAATGCTTTGCCTACAGGGATGATGGTGAGAGGGGAAGTACAGCAAGTTATGGATGCAATTACACTGCTTGTTCCATTCCCACTGCAGCCTGAGTGCTGCAAATTAACATCTGCTTAGGTATTAGGTAGGTCAGTCAAATTCCTTGTAGTGCCATACCCTAAAAAGGACTGGCAGAATCACTGAGGTTAAAAACTTTCTCTAAGTAGGGGTCTCCTAAACCAAATGTCACTTTTGCCAATTAGGGCAATGTCACACCAGCAGTTTATCTCACAGAAATGCACAAGCCGTAAGTAACCCCTTCAACCGATTTTGCCACTAGACCAATGATCATACTGATATCTTTACAGATGGTTCTGTCTCTCAGGGTTTGTATATAAACCAGCTAAAAAAGGGAGTAGGGAAGATGATCTGCATGACTAAGTCAATAAAGGAGGCTGGCAGACGCACCTCTATGCAGGCCTAATTTAATATGTCAGCCGCTACACAGCTAGCAAAGTGGTACCATCCAAGGAAAGGAAAGAAAAAAAAGACTATTTAAAGCAGCTACTACCCTGTAGGGGCCACTGAAGTAACAGATACAAGGCCTCTGTGAAAAGCTACTTCTGGATGTCTTCCCAACCAGAGAAAGTGCTGTTGGCTCAAATGTCTTTTATTACCTATCATTCCTCAGGCAGCTTTAGGAATAGGAAGAAAAAAAGCGTAGAGAAGCTACCTGTGAGCACAAAGACATGCGCTAGTCCTGGTCTTCAAGCACAGGAAAGCCACTAAAATAACTGCTAACACCAGCAATTATTTTTATCCGTGGGGTTCTGTGGGTTTTCTTTTGGGTTTGTGGTTTGTTGGGTTTTAGTTTGTTTGGGTTTTTATTATTCTGAGAGTTGCTTTTATATGTCTAAACATGCCTCATCTCTGCCCTGTATACCAGACAAATAGACTTCAGGTTCCTTGAGGGAAAAGAAACTTGAACTTCAAAATACTTACTCTTTTTACCCTGAACAATCTTCTTTTTGCCAGTCGTCTTCTGTTTTCTTCTTTCAAAGCCACAGCCTGGGCTGGAGTTAGCTGCGCTTTATAGGCGGCCAGCTGCTCTTTGTATCTTTGCCAGTCTGTCTTTCTAGCTTCCTCATAAACCTACAATGCGAACAGTCACCAACCTTAAACAGATGCTTTCAGTCAGAAGCACCTGACCACAAAACAAGCTAACATTTCTAAGCTACTAATAAAAAAAATTACAGACTACCCTGGAACATAACATAAAGTACCAATTTCAGATCTGTTTGATTAGCAGAATGGATTCAGAAAAACTCAAGACTCAAAACCTGGGCTCTTCCCATGAATTATCTCAGTTGATCTGGTAACACCAGATGAAATCTTCAGATGCAGCTCAAAGCAGTAACAATCTTTCATATAAGAAGGAAAAGCTGAAGCTTGGTTGAAATGATTACTGTTAAAGCGTGTATACCCATCGCAGCACACATGTGCATCAGTCACCAAACACACTCCCACATTCCCAGCCAATACCAGGTACAGAGGCATCATAAAATTGTGGCTTTGGTACCAAAGTACCACAAAGAGCTGAGCCAGGCTACCAAGCGTCCAGGAAGACCTGAAAAATCACCATCCTGTTCTCCATTTCAGACATACAAAATGAAAAGGCATATTTTATACTAAGGCACATAGAGCCAGAAGTCCAGAAAGGGTTTAAGAGCACTGGAATTCTATTGAACAAAGATACTACTTTAGCTAGAAAACTGCAGTTAGCTCCTAACTGGATCTAACTGCTAACTGCAATCAAGGAAGAACAGTTGCTATAAATGGCACTTATATTCAGCAATGATTAACAATTCATAGAGTTGTTTTACGTTATCCCTTGAAACTGCCACCCTTACAGAAACTTCATTACCTATGACAAAAAGTATGTTTATGAGACGAAACTTCAAGTTACTTGTAAGTTAGGTCTCTAGTTACTACCTAACGAGCAGAAAAAAAAGTTGGTTCTTTCATCAAAATTAACTGAGGTTTCACCCAACTCATGCATATGAAAGCAGAACTTTACAATACTTACGTTATTATCCATGTAATGCACATGCATACACAATTACCATTCAAAAAGAAATGCGATATGGGTTCCCAGCCCTAGACCCGCATAGAGCGAGAGCTGTCATTTGTTTCTCTGGCAACAGATTTAAAATACTAAAACCAAGGTCATGTACAGAAGTATCAAAGTATCTTCCCCCTGACTACTTCAAAACTCCCAATTCTCTTCAGAATTGTTTTTATTTCTGAGCCTTTGTACGCAAGGGCTTTCTTATTGTTGTTTAAAAACAAAAAACTCACAACACAAAATTAAAAAAAAACAACTACAGAGGATGCCAAACCAAGTAAAACAACCACTAAGACTGAGAAGTACACAGGGCAAAAATACAAACGTACCTGCTTCTGTGATGCTGGTAACTCCTTCCAAACACCTGCTATTTTCTTAACCAGCTCCGTATTGGTCATTTCTGTACATTAAAATTAGAAAGCAAGAAAATAAAGATCAATATTACATCTTCAGTAAGTTTCTTCAATTTTTCCCAAGGAAAACTGTCACTAGTATTTTTCCCCTGTACATATATATATTCCTCCTTTCATAAAACTAACTAAATTTCTGTGGCAGTTAAAGAGAACTGTAATATTGGGGGCAGGGGGTAAAGAGTCCCTGCTGTTGCTTCAAACTCAAATGAAACGCACAGTTATAAGCTGAAGTACCACTTCAAGACAGACAGCTATTACCACTCCACAACAGTTTCATTTTTCTTTCTTTTGAGTTGGATCCTTTTCTATACAATGCAAGATTGCCTGAACTTGGAGGGGAGCCAGGGAAGAAATCAAAAGTAAAATTTCCAGTTCTCAGTCTTTTGGCAAAAAAGGTCTGCCAGATTCTTCAAATTGAGTATAATGTGACTTTATCCACCTGATATAGCACGTAACACTTGGTCTTTATTAAACTAAACTCCTTTATTTACAATATCATTAAACAGAAGTAAGGTTAAAGAAAAAGTAATTTCCTTCTCCCACAAAGTTACTGTGACTTGAATCTGCTTTGGTTTTCAGCTGACTGCCTTTGACTCTGGCCCTTGCTCTAAGGTAATTTGATTTTCAGACAGACCTGAATTTGTGAAGGGGAAAAATCAACAAAAAAACCCAAATAAAAAACCCAGGGGTGGTGGAAAGAGGATATAAGCTTTTATTTTCTTGAAAAATCCTTTATAGCTTTCCCTCTGCCTCACACTAAAAGGAAAACCAGATCTTCCTCTCTCCACCTCAGATGTAAAATTCAGCCGTCTCAACAGTGGAAAAGTAGAACTAAGTTCTTATCAGTAATCTTACTTCCAGAATTCTGGAAATACAAGACAGACGGGGAGGTTTTAGTCCAAGCACATCAATCCTAAAACCTCTGGAAATATGATGCTTTGCCAATAATAGAAGGAAAAAAAAAAAAATCAGGTTGATGACCTCTAATGGAAAGCCCAAAATTCTCAATTTGCATATGAGATACAGTGCATCTGTTTACAATTATTCGAATTTTGGAAGCATGTGGAAAACACTGTTGCGGCACATAAGCTCTGCAAGTTCAGTGTCTCAACCTCTCAGACTGTTAAACTTTTGAACTACCGAGCAAAACAGGCCATCAAATGGTTTTCCCTCTGTAAATTTACCTCATGATTCGCCCAATGTGACCACACTTTAAACATTTTAACATTCAACAGTCTTTTCAAAATCAGTGCAGCTTTCCATTTTGCTGCTCTGACAAAAGGAGTGACAGCATTGCCTATAAATGATGGTTTTGATAGTAAATTAAACATATTCACAGAAAATATTTTCCTCCCATATACACTGAGGCAATCCAGCACATGCAGTTTTTAAATTACTAAGCTTCAAAACATAAGTTATATACAGCTTGTTATATCAACAGTAGCATACTTCAAACACACACGGTTTAAAAATAACTGAAAAACACAAATCATGGTTAACATGTATTGCCCGGGTGAGTCTTTTCTTCAAACATTTTTAAAGTTACATGCAGATGTTCACTTTTTTCTGAGGTAAGTATGGAAGACTAAGCTAATACCTGTACAGGCAACAAGCTTCTTCAACTTTTCCCCAAGGCAGGCAGTCACTAGTATCTTTTTCCCATACAAACGTATTTTCCACCTTTCATAAAACTAACTTACCGTGGCAGTTAAAGAGAACTGTAATATTTGGGGGGATAAAGAGTCCCTGCTCTTGGTTCAAACTAGAATGGACCATGCAGTTATAAGCTGAAGCAATACTGAATGGTATGCTCCGGATAATAGGTTGGTTTTGGTCTCCTGAATCAGGTGATGTACTTTATGACGTTTAGTTTCACAAAGCAACACTTCGTTCCAGTTTTACTTTTAAACCACATATTCCGCAGGGAAAACAACGTATTTATCTAATGTTACGGAAGCTTTACTACAAAAGCTCTGGCACGCTTAACGCGTTAAAAGTTCTTATTTCTAAAAGCAGAACAAAGCCAGTCGTGAGTCCTCTCGCACCTCGTTCCCTTCAGACCGCGTACCTGGATTTTTTTGCCTCATAGCAGAACGATGCTCTTTCACGAAACGGAAATAAGACGTCAGAGGCCGCTTCGGACGCTCATCCGAGCTGATTCCCCTGGAGAAGCACTTTTCCGCCGAGCC